CGTTTCAGTAGTGTTTACGATTGAGGTTAAAAAGAAATCATTTTTTACTTTAACAACACTAGGACATAAAAATACACCTTTAAAGATTTCGCGTTCGGGACATAATCCTTCGCTTAATTCATTATTTATTACTTTAATTTGAACAATTGTTTCAGTTCTTGCGGATAGAATAGTTTTATTACTTCTTGAGTTAGAATTAGAGTTTTGATTTAGTATAAGATCGTCTGAACAGGATTTTTCTTCTGAACAGGATTTTGATTTATGATTTCGTGAAGAGTTACAAGTTTTATTTGTGCATATCTCAGTGGATTTTACACATTTTGGACTTGAATTTTCTTTGGATTTAGAGTTAGATTTAGATTGAATTGGATTGGATAGTAGTTCTTCACTACTTAAGGTTATTTGGATATCATTGGTTTCTAAATAAGAATGATCCTCTATGGATTTAGCATCATAAGGAAATATTTCATCGATATTAGAACTTGTCTCGATATTTTGATCTCTCAGAAATTCGTCATTGTCATTGTTTAATGGAGATTTTATATATTCAATTGGAATAGAACAATTTTTAAAGTTTAATTTATTTTCTTTATAATCAATTTGGCATTTATTTATTTCAAAAAAATCGCTACCTAATATACCGTCGAAATGAAGAGGAAAATCGTCTTCTACGACATAGAAAACATGAGTTTGGACAAAATCTTTTATCTTGAAATTTACGTTACAACTACATATAGTTTTATTTGGATTTAAGACATTTTTATCAATGCCTCGTAGAGTAATAGACTTAGAATAAATTTTTGGAATGTTTAGTATTTTTGAATATTTAATTAAAGAAATATCTGCGCCTGTATCGATTAGAAACTTGCAAGAGGATGGATTAGAATTATTTACTAAGGGTAAATCTACATAGGAAGTGACTGAGAAGTTGATGGTTGTGATACGGCCTGAACTGAACGAACTCCTCGAGAATCGACCGTTGGTTGTCGAGGATTCTGGAAGTTTAAAGAATTTGTTGGATTTTTGTTTTTATTGTTAAATTCGCGTTTTCTACATTCTTCTATAACGTGACCTGGTTTTTTGCAGTATCTGCAAAAACGTTGGGAAGTGTTGGTATTTTCTTTTCTTAAGTTTGGAGGAAAATCAGAATTGGAATTTGAATTTGAAGGTTTATAATTTTGATTTTGAGAATTTGACCTTTGAAGATTTGAATTAGGATATTTTGGGTTTTGAAAACTAGAATTTTGAAGATATCTAACATTTCTATCTGAATTGTTTTTATATCGACAGTTATTTGAGGAATGGTTATTTCGTTTGCAAATATTACAGAATGGTTTGAAAATTTCTTGTCTTGATAACTGTTCTTGTTCTTCGGCAATTGCTATAGCAACAGCTCTTTCTAAGGAATCTGGATTTCGGGCTTTGATTAAAATAGAGAGGTCTTTGTTTAATCCTCTAATAAAGACATTTAGTGCTTGAGTTTTTAAGAGTTTAGTACATGCATTTCTTGCATCTGGAGATAAGTCTGGATCAAGTGTATTTATTAATTTTATATAGCAATTTTCAACTTTATTTGCAAATGACATTACATTTTCACTGGGCATCTGACGTAAGGAATGTAATTCCAATTGCCACTGACCTTCAGTTCGGCGTTCAGAATAAGCATCTAATAAGAAGTCTTTTAAATCTTTCCATTCGTCAAATGTTCTGTTTCTAGTTATGGCCCTAGCTTTATCGGTTAATTTAGTTTCTATAATGGCTAATAAGATGGGTTTGGATTGCGGATTTACTAAATTGTATGCTTTATCACAATTGTCTATGAATTCGTATAATTTTGATTTTGTACCATCAAATCTAATGAGAAGTTTTTCAGCTATTTCAATTGATACTGACATTTTATTTGAATTAGAAGTAGAAGAATTTGAAAGAGAATTTGAGTCGGGAGAAGGTATTTGTTCGTCAAATAAGTTACTTATATCAGGATATAAAGTAGACATACGTTTACAAGATTTTTAAAATATGAGACAGAATTTAAGATAGAATGTACTTACAAGTAGAATATTGTTGTTGGTCGCATAGTCTATTATTCCACGGGTTCACCTCTACTTCCGATGGAACTACAATTGGGTTATGACTGGAACTGGATTTCGAACTGGATGTACTGGACCCCAATGTAATTAGTTGTAGTGGCGATTTTTCCACACTGACAGTTTTTTTTGAATGATTCCTCGAAGGAAACAAGTCAATTCAAAAATTCCTCAGCTCTCCTTCTATCAGCAATCAGAGGAACTCTGCTACTATTATCCCACTTCTGACACCAAATTTTGTTATGGAATACTATGCGTTTATTTCTTCTCCGGACTAACTCTTTGTTTTGGAATTAAACAGAATATATTGACATGTATAAATTTATTATATTAGAGGATGAAAATTACACTGCCTGTTATTTCTTAAAACTATGAATTTATAAGTTCTGTTATCTACAATTATTTAACGATGTTTCTGGATGGATTTGAGTACAAGAGATTGGACTCAAATATTAATATTAAAATAGCAAATACGGATAGCTTATCGAACAAAGAAATAAGAGAAATAAATTATTATTATTCCATAGATACGAAGTATTAGGCGAATAAACTAGCGAAACTTATTTATTCTAAATAGGAAAATATTTATGAAGAGTATTGATTCTGATTTCTAACAGCAAATAATTATTAGTGATTATACATGAGAACTTTTCATAATTGTAAATAACATATACCAGGTGACTAAAAACTATATAGAAATACATAGATACTTTAATTATCTTACATGTGAGTAGGTAGGTACATTACAATATATAAACAGTCTATATTTTATACAGCGTGAGAACGGGAAGATTTGAAGATAATATCAAAGAATATAGACGCATATAGATGAGTATATATGGAATGGAGGCCTGGACCTTCAAAATCAACTCACTAAGGCGTTTAAAAAGTTTTGAAATGTGGTTATTTCGAATGATGCTGAAAGTCCCCTGGACAGCGCATATGAGCAACGAGCAGGTCCTACACAAGATAGGTACCGACAGAGAACTCTTAAAAATAATGAAAACACGGAAAACCTCATATTTGGGACACATATACAGAGATGAGAAATACCAGCTACTGCAGCTTCTTATAGAGGGGAAGGTAGATGGAAAACGTGGTCCTGGTAGACGGCAGGCGTCCTGGTTGAAGAACATTCGTGAGTGGACTGGTTTGGATTCTCAATCTTTAATAAGAAAAGCCAGGGACAGAAATGATTTTGCTGAGGTTATCGCCAACCTTCATTGAAGACGGCACCCAAAGAAGAAGATAGATGGGTAGACGGCAGGCGTCCTGGTTGAAGAACATTCGTGAGTGGACTGGTTTGGATTCTCAATCTTTAATAAGAAAAGCCAGGGACAGAAATGATTTTGCTGAGGTTATCGCCAACCTTCATTGAAGACGGCATAATATGAAACGGTATTGACGCTCTACTTTCAAATAAAACATACACAGCGTATTCGCCAGATCGACAGTGCCGCTAGGTACCGTAGGCCAAATAGGTACCTGGGAATCTGGGAATAGGACCCAGTATAGGATAAAGGCAAAGATAATGATGATGAGTCAACATTATTATATCAACAACGACATGGTGTGCTTTTTAAAAACACAAGGAGTGTATTTGATCATTTATATATTTTATTTAGGTACACACTAAAACACTTTATTTATAGGCAAAAAAATGTTTCCTAATTCCGAGACAAAGAGAATTGACTTAGTTTATTTGTTCATGAATAATAAACATCTAAGTATTTCTGCACTAACACAATTTATTACAGCAAATTAATGTTGGTATATTCTTATTGCTGACTTCTTCTGTTAGTGTTGCTAACCAGAGTGCTACGTTCTGTTAATGGATTTACTACACATTTTATTTCAATATAAAGTAGGATAAGGGCTGCATCTTTGGGGTTTCTCTTTTTGCTATCTGTTTGTTTCATGACTATTGATACATCTTTCCATTTTATTATGTGTTCATTGTCCCAGACATGTTTGCATATGTGGGATCTGTCGAAATAAACAACTACAGGTTAAATAACTCCTTATTCTATATTAATCTTTTTTGAATTCGATTTCCGGAATGGAAGTCGAAACGTCAAAAACAAACGTAAAGTGTAATTTTTATTGCAAGTAATTCTGGTTGGTAATCTCACATAAATACAATATTGCCACAAGAAAAGGGTTTCAGTACTTCTTTAAACTGGATTTGGTAAATGGATAATTTTGTCTAAACGTGATTGCAGATACTTATTACATCAAAACTGAAAGTTGTAGACTTGTAGATTAGCTGTAGACAGCAGGCATTGTAAAAAAATATAAGAAAGGAAGAACTAGGAAATAATCAATTTGGATTTCAAAACTATAGCGACACAAAATAAGAAACAATCATAGCACACTATATCTATGGAAACAATCAGAATACCCACTCTCAGATGCCGGCTTTTGAGGTTTTTCAACATCGCGATCGCCATGTTTTAGACGGAAGCATAGACTCGAATTGAGAAATTTGTGATAAGCTATGACATAACTCTAATTTATATTTTTAGAAATTAATAATTTAGTACATTTGAAATAATTTAATCTATTTTTCAACTAAAAGTACGAATAAAATGGTACTTATTTTTTCAAGCAGAGTGGGCATTCTGATTGTTTATTATTCTTGTGCCAGCGTGCCAGCGAAGTCCGCATGACACCCATTATTATCTATTCTGTGCTCCAGGTATTTATCAATTTTTTGCCATTGTAATCTCCAACTTCCATTAATGGAGACGGTACTCGAAAAAGAGTACCTAAATGCTTCCTTTGTAAATGGAATAAACAAAACTTTCATTACCTTTCCTACCCTGGATGTAGTACATACTGAACAAGACCAAGACCGTTGTCAAGTCCTCAAACTGTCAATACGTCAATTGTTATTTGTCATTCATTATTTGTAAAAAACTGGGGTTGTCAATTTGTTGGCAGTTTGAAGGTTTTCTGTGATTTTGGAAGTTTAATATAGAAACAAGAATTTAGTATTATTGTTTATTACAGCTTTACAAAATTAATAAAAAGGCGATGATTATCCAAACTCCAACATAACCTATTTACTAATATTTAGTTTACAAAATAGCAAATATGTCTGATTCAGAGGCTAGCAACTTTTCGGATAACGAAAATGCGTCTGGAGCAGGGTCAGTTAGGTCTCGCAGCTCAAGAGGTAGCGTTAGAAGTAGATCTAGATCCCCGTCTAGATCTAGGTCGAGATCCATGTCAAAAAGTAGATCGAGATCACCATCAAGAGGCTCGAGAATGTCCAGATCACGCTCTCCTTCTCGTTCAAGATCACCCTCTAGATCTCGGTCTCGTTCTCGTTCCCGATCGAGATCTAGATCTAGATCTCGCTCCCGAAGCAGATCAGCAAGATCTGGGTAGGTATCAATTAATTTAAAGGTTCTATAGTTTCTGTATTGGATGTTTCAAGTAGATTGAATCTTGGTATACTAAACTAGTATACTAAACTAGTGTCCAGACTTATTAAGACAGTTTGTTATGCCGATGAACAATAAATCTACAGTACTATCAAGAGTTTATACCTATCCACATTTCAAAAGTAGATCAGCTTTATTTGGCTATATACTGTTTTGATGGGATATGGAAGTTGAGCTTGATTCTAAATATTTATCATTAAGTGACACTTCATATCTAACCAGAAAAAATAAGATTTTCTTCTATAAATGATTTGAACATATGTTTTGGTTCCTCTAACTTATAAACCAAATTTTTTATCAAACTATGTATTAGTTTTTCATATTATTTCCATATCCTGTTTTATTTTGAAAATTGGACCCGAAAATTATTTTTGATAATTTTAGGTACTTAAATTTTACTCAATACTTTTACTACAGTTGTTAATGGTTTTAGAACAAGCTATACTGTGTTATAAGCGATTCACTCAGTGTAGCTACTTCCAGTAAGTCAAATTTAACCAACATAGAAAAAAGTAATTACCAAATTTATAAGATAGTTGGGACTGAAATCAGTGGAATGAGTATATGATAGAATGAGTATAGTAAAACTTATTAACAAGTTATAATGATAGGCTGCATTAGTGACAATGTATTATGATCTTTTGTAAGGGAATTCATTCCAAACATGTTTTTTTTTAAACCTTTTCACTATCATAGTCATACATTTTCATTGGAGTCTTGACACCTTGCTCATCCAGTCATTGCTTTATCAGTTCATGAAGCCAATTCTGCTTTTTTTGATATGATCCTATCTGAAGCATAGAGCTAAACTAGATATTATACTTAAATTTAGTATATTTTAGCTATTACTCTAGTAAACTAATTGTCAAATGGAGAATCAATAAATTTCCATTTATCAATACAGTTCTTCTCGATAGCAAAATAAATAATTAAATTAAATGTAAATTACTTATATGTATATGTATATTATACACACATTACCCTGTACCAAAAAATCAGTTTGGTTTTTCATATAGTGCTTTAATTTTAGATCAGAAGCACGAGAAGCTTCAGGCCCTGAAGATGTTGTGGAAGAAGAAGAACCAGATGGAGATAGTCTAAGGTCAGACGAATATGACAGCGAAGAAGATGAAAGTGATGATGGGGGTAGAGCAAAGAAAAGAAAAAAGAATAAAGACAGATATGGAGGGTATGTATACTTTATTTTTTTTTCAGTAAGATTAATAATATATACATTGTATACAGGGTAGCAATTTACTCTATATTTTTCTTGTTATTAGTACATTCTTAATTTTTCCTTTTTATAACTATTTTTATTTCATGATATATTAATTCTGTAAATAATTATTCTTTTTCTTTCTTTTAAAAGATTTATTATTGATGAAGCTGAGGTAGATGACGAAGTTGAAGATGAAGATGAATGGGAAGATGGAGCACAAGAAATTGGAATTGTTCCTAATGAAGTTGATGAGTTTGGACCCACAGCAAGAGAAATTGAAGGAAGAAGAAGAGGAACAAATTTATGGGAGTAAGTATATTTTTAATTTTTGAATGAAAAAAAAAATTCTATTCGAATATTTGAATTTATTATTAATTACTTATAATCTATCTACCATTTTTTAGTGCCCAAAAGGAATCAGAAATAGAGGAATATCTGAAAAGAAAATATGCTGATGATGGAGCAGCAATCAAACATTTTGGAGATGGTGGTGAAGAAATGTCAGATGAAATCACCCAACAAACATTATTGCCAGGTGTTAAGTAAGTATAACCATTTATATATTTGTGTTACTCATGCCTTAAAAGCAGCAGCTAATTTAACTAATTATAATTTTAAAGAGATCCCAACCTTTGGATGGTCAAATGTAGAATTGGAGAAGAAAAATCTACTTGCCTCTTACTTATGCGAAAGTTTATGGCATACCAAAATACTAATGAACCTTTGCAAATCAAATCAGTAGTAGCACCTGAAGGTGTTAAAGGATACATCTATATTGAAGCCTACAAACAGCCTCATGTCAAAGCTGCTATCCAGAATGTAGGAAATTTAAGAATGGGCATCTGGAAACAGCAGATGGTTCCCATCAAGGAAATGACAGATGTTTTAAGAGTTGTGAAAGAACAAACTGGTGAGTCTACATTAGTGTACTATTGACATATTGATATTTTTTGCATTTATACCATGCACTGGAATAAGTGTTACCCCCCTATTAACTTATTTATTTTTAGCACTTAAAGAATAATGCTCAGCCAGTTCGATTTTTAAAATAATCATATTGTATTATAGCATCAATGTTTTGAACTTTTCATGATGCCACTTCAGGAGATTTTCATAATTTTGACTGATTTAATTGATTTTATTTTTTAATGGGAAAGTACATCATGTGACACCTTATTTAAAAGCTTTTGAAATACTGATTTAAAAATTGGATAATACTTTGGGTTCCTTTGGTTAGAAAATTTACAGAATCTAAGTTATGTGAGAAAGAGTTTCAATGTACCTATGTACCTCTCATTGAGCAAAAAGACAAAATGGAAATGTAAAGGTAGTGAGGGCAAAAATATTATTAGACAGGAAGTGCCATCTTGAGAGGCCAAATTAAACAAGGAAAGAGAGTCTTTCCTTGTTTAAGAAATCAAATTTAGTTGGGTTATGTTATGATTTGTCCCAACTGTCACATGAAATCTGATTTATATTGTTTTTTAACAATTGTTTCACATTTTAGACTGTTATCGTTAATATTTAATTAAAACTTTCTCGTCTAAGACACATTCTGAAAACTATTTTATAGCTACTGTTAATAAGTGTCAGAAAATTTAAATTTGGCGCATTCGCATTTCCGGATATGTCCGCCATCAAAGGCCACTTTTTGGGTCTCCTTTTCATAACGATTAGATTCCCTCTTTTGTCTTTTTGCTCGATGGTACCTCTAGACCTGGTCAAAAAAGTTACCTAATGCTCTTCTTTTGTTGCATTGCAACTAATTTTTTCTTGTCAGCTATCATATTGTTGCTATTTTAAGAGAAATTATTTATTGTGAATTTTAAAAATGGTGCAACTTGGTACAAGAAAAATTAGAAATGATTACAATTTATGGTGAAACTTACGGAAATTATGGTCAGCTAGTAAGAATTTTTAATGGACGCTATCCTGACATTCCAATAAACAGGCACTATTTTAAGTCAGTTGTATTCAAATTTGTTGAGATTGGTAGTGTTCAAAATAAGAAATGGGCAGGAAGAAAATGTTTATCCGAAGATAAACAGATTTCTGTGTTGAATTTGTTGTTAATCTGTCTACTGCTACTAAAATTGTTGCTCACATTTGTGAAATAGATCAAAAAACAGTTTTAAAGATTCCGAAGAGAAATAAATTTCATCTTTACAAAATAAAAATAGTTCAATAGTTAACAGGGTATGACGAGATATATGGATGGAATATTGCGGAACCATCAGAAATAATATTGCACAGAATCCTAATTATCTTCAACACATTTGTTTTAGTGACGAAGTGACAATTTTTTGAGTGGCCACATCTATCGTCAAAATGTTGATACTGGTCTGAAGAAAATCCCAGATTATTTCGAGAAGGTCACTCGTAATTGTAGGCCCAATATTTATTGGCAGTAATTTAAATGGTGATAATTACCTAAATATGTTGGCGAGATAATGCTGGGATACAATGATATAATTACAAATCATCCACAAGAGTTCACTGAAAATGTCATATTTTAGCAACACGGAGCTACGCCCCACTATGCTGCCATGGTGTGAAATTATCTAGATAATGTTTTTCTGGCAAGATGAGATCTTTTTCTACAGGGTTACTTACAATCCAAAGTGTATGAGACACAACCAGATACAATTGACCAACTATGCCAAAGAATTATCTCAAAGTGCTGTACTATTGATCAAAGGATGTTGCAAAAAGTTAGAGAAAATATAAGAAATAGATTGTATTACTGCCAAGATGGAAATGAAAAACATTTTGGACACCTTTTACATTAAAAGAAGTTTTAGCTTCTAATTACTCTCCAATTTGTTTATTCAGTATTAGTTGTCAAAATTTTTTTTGCAAATATTTTTTGTAAATATTTTTTGCTTCTATTTAAAACAAAATCTTGATGCAATAATATACTACAATTATTTTAAAAATCAACCTGTTCGAGCGGTTTTGCTTACATGCTAAAAATAAATAAGTTAATAGGGGGAGGGGGATAACACTTATTCCAGCACATCATATCTGGATTTTGTTGTTAATATCAGGGATCGAAACAGTTGGATATATAATAGCTATCAAATAATTCACTTAGGTATTATAAAAAAGTATAAGTCCAATCAAGATCTATACACAAAATGTGGAAAATTAAAAAAAAAAATGTCAAAGATTGCATCTCTATTTTAAGTTTTTATTCTGCTTATTCTGCTTCAAGAAAAGTATCACATCTAGGGCAAAATTTATTTAAAGTAAAATTGTTTGCAATTAAATTTCTTATCAAAATATGCTTATACATGAAATCGCAAAATTATTTACCAAAAATAAAAACCTATAAGCATTTTACTTTCGCCATTGTTTTGAAGATATATTAAAATTTTAATTGAGTAATGAAAAAAGGTACAATCAAGTAAATATATACAGCCCAGACAGAAACTGTTTTTGATAACTTTTCAAAAACAAAACTGTTATTGCAGTTTTCTCTTGCCATTATTTTGCATTTAACGTAAATTTGTCATACCAAGAAAGAGTTTTCCATTTTTCATATGCATATTTCCAAGATGATATTCTTTATTGCGAAAGAATTTTATTTCTGTGTCAAAACTATTTTATGGTAGATGATATTTTTCGACATATCAACACCTTCATGAGAAAATGTTGTAACTCCAAAAACGCACAAATAGGGAACGCAAAAAACCTAATAATTTTAAAAGTATACTTTAAAATTTTCTGTTTTTCTGTAATTTTTTATTTTATGATACTTCTGAGGGTTATTTAAAGTAAATTAATAATAGGTAAGTGTGTTTGCAGAAAAAAAAATAAAGGAGTTTTGAGAATTTTTTAATTTTTTCATATTCTATTTTTGAGTTACATGTTTTTCGCAGTATGCGAGTTTTAGAATAAAATTATTATGAGGGTTACTTAGTAAAAAAGTTTACTACTTCTACCCTTCGGCTTTCCCCTAAAACCACCACCCTTTTAGGGAACAACGAAAAAAATCCATTTACCAACAATCTGTACGTCATAGAAAAAAAATATTTCAAATATAAAAATGTAGGTGAGATAATTCTGAATAAAAATGTTTATTAGCACTTTTTGTGTAAAATTAACCGTTCTCTCAGAAACAACGCTTGAAGCGAATTTCGAATATCAATTTGTCATTAAACAAAATTCATATATAAATTCTCAAGCGCCCTCAATCACAGATTTAAAACAAATTAACTATTATAGTGACAATTAGATAATCTTAAATAAATAACACTTATTGAATATCTTGACAAATTTATTTGAAAGCAATTATTTTACCTATATTAGTAAAATACACACGATTCATATTTGATTCGATTGCCGCAAGCAAAAGATTGTTACATATTGTAAAATTTTTAATAATAATTAATAAATAATACAAAGAAACATATGGGATTAAAAAAATTAAACATGTAAAATTTGTAATAAAACTTAATAAATATAAAAACATCTGGCCTCCGTAAAAAAATAAACATATTACTTTATTGCAAATAAGAAAAATAAAACAATTAATAAAAATTAATGCCAATGTTAAGAACATTATTTTCTTTTAACTTCCCTCTTCGTGAAGTAGATAGTTACTGGATCAAAGAAGCATGTAAATGAAACAAGATTATATAGTTACATAATCCCAATCAAAGACAATCCATAATTCGGCAAAAGACTTCCATCATCTGCAAACCACCTTACTACTCATAAGTATGTCTTCATATGACCTCTATAAGTTAAACATACCTTTTTAGTGTGCCAGACAGGACAACAACTAGAAGTAAACTTTTCCATCATGTCTTCGGGAGCTGTTGGATAAGCATATAGTACTAATCTGGCAATATCTATCTCATATTCTTGAAGAGCCTCATCTTTTTGTCTTCGATTTTAAAGCTGCGACTGATATACATGCTCCAAATGTTTGTGGCCATATCGCATATTTAACTTCTTAAGTTGTTCGAAAACCTCCATCTACTCTACGGCTATGGTCTGAAGCACATTTAAGGCATCTCCTCGAAGAGCGATAGTCAGGTTTACAGCCTTTTCTTTTTCAGACTATCCATTCGCTCTTGCAGCTGATTTGAACTGTTTCATGTAGTTGTTCCATGACGATTTTCCGCCGAAAGTTGGGACTTTGACATGAACCTCCACTTCCTTCAAATTTCGGCCGTGTTTCCAACTTACATTTCGTCTCGTCTTCTTTTGTCTCTAGTGTAATTGGATTGTTTCCTTTCTCTGCTGTCCCTATTTCCTCCATCTTCATTTCCATCTCTTTCCATATCTTTTCTTCTAAGGCCAACATATCGGCAGCAACTTGGTTTTTTAACGAAGACATTCTATCGTCGAGGGCAGACATCTCAGAAGTGACTTTCGAGATGTTAGCAGAAACTTTGCTTTCCAGAGAAGAAATCTCGTTAGAAACTTTGCTTTCTAAAGAAGCGATGTCGCCGAAAACTTTGTTCTCTAATGATGCGATGTCACCAGAAACTTTCGAAATATCTCCAGAAATTTTGTTCTCTAATGATGCGATGTCACCAGAAACTTTCGAAATATCGCCAGAAACTTTGTTCTATAATGACGCGATGTCACCAGAAACTTTCGAAATCGACGAGATGACAACAACATGTTTGTCTTCAAATATATAAGTTTCTGGGTCCAAACCGTCTTTTTTTAAAGCGTTCTTTAGTCGTTGGACTAAATCAGCCTTTTTTCCGGTAGAAGCTAATTCTCTGTCCTCGAGATGTCTTCTTAAATCCGTAACTGTGAGTTCATAAATCGTAGTCATTTTCACAATTTATGTAAAATATTCACCTCTGAACACCACTGTTGTATTTTTATTAATTTTAATTTATTGTCTTTATTTGTTATCAAAGGTTCTATATTTATGACACAAGTTTATTTAAGTCTTTATTACAATATTCACTTATCACTAAGAACTAAAACACAACTACTATAATTTAGATTATTTATGTATTTACAATATTTATATCGGACTGACCAGCTGTTTACATAAAATTTCTGTTTATACTAAATAGCGTTATTCTGGAAGGGGGTAGTGACGTTCCGAAACTTACTCGATCGCCGTGAAGTCAGAGTGGTTTTTATCGGTGGGTCAAGCCCGTGGATGATCTTCTTTGTAGAAAATACTTGAATGAAAAAGGATATTTACAGTTTAGATATTATGAGTCATAATTAACGTAACAATATACTTTTGTTCCTGAAATAAACAAAAATAAGTACATATTTTATCTGGTATCTTAGTGGTTTCAGGATGAAACCAGCATTTTATATCTTCAATATTCTTATTGTAAAGTGAAAACTTTTAGTAATAGAAAGTATTAATCATACATACAAATGTTTCTAATTTTGTCAATAAAAAATAAAGTTACCTGCCATAGCGAAATAATCCAACAACCACCAAAATTGCTTATACCACTAGCCCGGTTCAAAACACGTGTTATTACCAACTAATAACTGAATAACGAGAATATAAATGGCGGTGAGCGATACATTTTAAAGTAGGAGGAGCCCTATACGTCATATTCCTTAAGTTGTTTCAGTCAAATACCACTGAGAACGTAGCTAAAAATGTATGTGTATGTGGTATGTGTAAGGGTTAAACTGCAATTCAGTTATACAGGAAGCATACAAATTATTGCGTTCTGAATTAAATATGATTTAAAGAAATATAGGTTCTGTGTATCATTACAATGCAATATTAAAAACAAACACAAAACCTTTAAAAATTTAAATTGAAACGTCAATAAATGTATTTTAACCTTTAATTGTGCCGTATTCCCAGTTAAATAGTAATTACTTTAAAATGCCACAAGAAAATAACTTCAGAACAATACAAAACCTTTGTATTTACTTTATCCAAGTAAAACCCTTCAGACACAATATTAAATCAAAATACTATCAATAATTACACTTGTTATAACTCTTAGTACCTAGTAGTATTAACAGATCTATGTTAGTAAAGAACATGCTAGAGAAACGAGAATTTCTTTAGAAAATATTGCGCGTGGAGATACGAGATGTTTATGCCGAACAATTAATTACAGTACACTATTGGAGATTACAGGACTTTCCTATTAAGTATGTAGGTTCAGTCCTTTTTCAATTGGTGACAATCAATCAAACAAAAGGTTCAATTCAAAAAAATTTGGAGTCACGAGGTTTTCTTATGAGGATATCGATATGCAGGTATTTTTTTCTAAATTTTCTAATTTTACCTTACTTGCCGAGCACATTTTATTTACAAAACGTTATAAGTTTAATAAGATTCGGTCTGGGCTATATATATTTACTTGATTATTCCTTCACTCATCGATTTATTTAAAATACATGTAATACTTACATACTTTGCATATATTTCTTCAGTGATCATTTGATAGCTGAGGGTTTTCAACGAGTTCCATCACTAGATGATAGATAAAAACATTTCAAAAATTGTTTCATAGGTTTGAAATCAAAACAGTGGGTAAGGCTTAAGCGAGGCCTCTACAAAGATGACATTGCTCAAGTCGATTATTTTGATATGGCTCAAAATCAGGTACATCTTAAAATTTTACCAAGGATTGACTACACACGTTTAAGAGGAGCTCTAAGAACAGCACAAACGGTAAGTACAAAGCTAAGAAATTAATGAATACTACCAGTAATGACATTGTTATATGTATTTCTTAATAACTTTATTCTATTTTATTTTATATAATAATTTACACAAAATTCAGCTTCATGAAATACATAATTAAAGCTGTAAACAAATTACTCAAATCTGGTTGTAATTTTTTTTAAATACATTTTCATTTAGTTTTGCTAGATTACTTATATTTTAAAGTTGTTCATATTTTGTATATAATTTTTTTCTGCATAGTATGTAACATTATTATTTATAATGGACTACCTAAGCCTGAAATCACAAGGGGCGGGGCTTAGAAAGCCTTTCCAAACAATTTTATTTTGTGTGAATCTGTCCCATAAGAAGTTAGAAATATTGGTTTTTTAATTTTTTGAAGATTAAATAATGACTTTTGGTTATCAACATTTATTCTGTGCGATCGATATTATTTGTTGGTCGTGAGTTTGTAAGGTAAGAGTATCAAATTAGTAAGATATTGATAAAATTTATGTTTTAAGGTTATGTTATTGTTTGATTAAAACTTAAATTTTTTTTTACTTCATTTGAAGATATTTTGTTGTTGTTTTTATCAGTGCTATTTCAAAATAAATCAATAAATCATTGAATTTATTTACGAAGTTAAAAAATATTTAAATTAATGTTTTACTCTCTTTTTTTGTTGCCAGTGAATTTATCCTATAAAAGACTAAATATATTCGTTTTCTCGTAGTTTAAGTTGGAATATAACATTCTGTGGAAACCTTTCTATCCAATTACCATAATGAGTGTTTAAAAAAATGTTTTTTGAATATTGTAATAGTTTTTGAGTTTATTATTTTTTATATCTGGGCATATGATGGCTAGTAAACATTATGTTAAAGATATCGAGTATTAGTGATTTTTTCAAAAATGACAACAAAACTACTAATAACTATTTAAACTACGAGAAAACGAATATATTTAGTCTTTTAGGTGATAAAATAACTAGCACTTAAAAAAGAATAAAACAATAATTTAAATACTTTTTAAGTTCGCAAAGTAAATTTAATGATTTATTGAATAATTTTGAAGTATTTCTGATAAAAACAACAAGAAAATACCTTGAAATGCAGTAAAAAATAATATCTCACAAATTCACGAACAACAAATAATATCAATCGCACATAATGAATGTTCATGACCCAAAGTCCTTATTTATTCTTCAAACAATTAAAAAAGCCAATATTTCCAACTTCTTATGGGACAAATACACACAAATTGGAAATGAGTAGAAAGGTTTTTAAAATCCCGTCCATTGTTACGTAAGAGCTTAGGTAGTCCATTGTTAATAATAGGTCATTTGTGCTCGTAGGTCATATAAAAGAACAGACTGAATATAACATTTTATCGGCAGATTTTAAAGAGATAAATAAGTCCCTTATTTTTCATGATACAGGATTATGGACCTGATCCAACGACTGGTAACAATCAACACAATTAGTTGAATAAATCAGTTTACCACTCGTTGGATATGTCCTTGTTGGAGCCGGGAATTTGTATGTTCCCTTAAAAATGTAATGGTATCATCTACCTAGTGTCCTAATACTTACAATGTTTATTACTTCAATTATATAATTTAAGGGTCTTCTGACCTCATTATGTGGCTAATTCCAATTGCGTTATAGAAGCTTTAAACTGATAAAGATCCGATAGGATTGAAAACGTTTTGAGAATGTATAAATCCATTTTGGATAATTTTATAAAAATTTTAATGAATTTTATACCATTTTACTCAAGAAGTCACTGCAAAAACGATCAACAAAACTAAACTTAAAATCAACGTTTTTCTTAAGAGATGTCTACACTAACTCTATGTGATTGAGATCTGGATGATACGGAGGCAACCTTAACACAGAGTGACTACTATTACCCAGTATCCTGTCAATTTCATACACCTTAAATCTGGGTTTATGACTTTGTATAATGCTGTAAAGATCGACTTCTCACATATCCTTTGAAAAAGGTAGATCGCGTTGTCTTATTTAGTCTTTCGTTATATTTTTTCTGAACTCATATTAGGACATTTTCCAGCTTGCACGTTGCTGTCAACAAGTAGAACACTATGTGGAGGGAGATTGGGAATAAGCAATTCCTGAAGCCATTTTTTAGAATTTCAATAATTCATTTTATGTGATACTCTGAGTTTGCGTTTGATTTGAATTTCAAATACGCATTATTTACGAAAACGTTTTCCTCCCTGCTTTCACTATTGTTAATTTCTAACCTCTTGAAATCTGAGCGCCTAATCCCTAATTGGAATTTTCTTTCATTTTGCCTCGATGCCTTTGTCGCACTCATTCAACTTAGATTTTAAAGCTGAACTGTTTCCTTTTTTATTTCTTCTTCTTTTTATGTAGACATGGATCTGTTTGTTTTTCAATGTGCCTCCAGTAAGTTGTCGTTCCATCGTTTTCATGGTCTTCTTACTGATTGCTTTCCTATTGGGGAACCGTCTCTTGCCGTATTTACTACTCTATTTGTTGTTATTCGGCTTATATAATCGTTCCATTCTCCTTTTCTATTTCTTACTCAGTTCTTGATCTTCTCCACCTTGCATCTACGTCGTATATCTGTACTGCTCGCTCTGTCCCATTGTGTCTTACTGTCTGTGTGTCAGATCGTGTTTCTCCCGCTTATGTCATTATTGGTCTGATGACTGTTTTGCTTTTCTGAATTCTGCCTTTCATTTCTTTCTCGATATTTTTATTTCTCCATACTGTTTAATTGCGGCAACCGGAGGCTCTGTTTGATCTATTCACATGATCTTCCACTTCAGTTTCGAGCTTTCTGTATCTAGATAATGTGATATCTAGATATATCTCGATCACTTGTTCCATTATCTGACCTTCCAACTCCCATTTACATCTTAAACGTAAATATACTGTTATATGCAAACCATGCATTTTGTCTTTTTTGGGGAAATTAACATGTTAAATTTTCTGGCGGTTATATTAAATTGGTGCAGCATACGTTGTAAATCATCTTCACTTTGAGAAAGTATTCATATTTGGTATCCTTTTTAGTTCTTACTTTTTTTTATTATTTCATCCATAGTCAGGTTGAACGTCATCAGGTCGGTTAGTTTTTCTTCTACTTTTACTTTTATTGTGTTGTTTTTGTAGATATTTTGGATCTTTTTGATTATTCCTAGAGGTACCTCTCTTGCGTACAATAAGTAGATAACGTCCTTTAATTTGACTCGGTTAAATGCCTTCTCAAGGTCCACGAAACATAGATATGCCGGTTTGTTGTATGTTAATGATTACTTTTGCACTTTTTTATTTCTAGTACTAAATTACTACTAAATAAATGATGACGTACCTTCCTCGATGTACTGTCGAAATTTCTGTCGAAATTGCTTTTATGGTGTCTAAACATACACCTGTTGCTGTTGCAACACGTTTCTACACTTGATTTAAGTGTATTGAACGTACGTTCTCTCTTTCTTTTTGTTCCATAAAATGCATAACATTCGTTATAATTTCTCGGCTTTGCCAGGACAATACTTTTCTATTCAATGTTTATTTAAATTCCATTTAACGTCACTGTCACTGTTCTTCAAGTACCTCTGTCTCAGACTATACCGATCTTAGGTCGAGTTTACTTCTCCTACTATAATATTTCCGGTAATTTTGCTCCTCCTCATCAAGTGGGCGTGCTGATTGTAGGATTTTCAAAGTTATTCCAAGTTTTGACAAAGTGTACTTTGAAGTGCGGTCTGGTAAATGATAGAGAATAATATTACTCATATTAAATGCATACATTAATTCATTTTTTTGAATGGTGGTTAACTAACATTTCAGTTAATTAACACTGGTGATTATCATGAAGATATGTATGCTGATGTTTTTAAGGAATTCAGATTCCGTAATTGTTTTGAATGCTATGTCGTACCTATAATAAGATGTTAAGATCTGAAATCTATAAGATCTGAAAAATTGCTCACAAGTGCTTGAAGAAAAGCATAAGTAATTCAGTGGCTTTCAGATAAATATATTGGCAATTTTAAATATACACAAACATCGGTTTGTAAAATGCGTTATTGATTGAAAGGCTGAAAAATCTTACTTGCTTACTTAATAAAGAAAGCTTAGGATCGAATTGAAATGTCAGTGTTTATAAAAATTTATTAAAATATTGGGCCACGTTGTTAGCGTTTTGTGTACAAAATTCGATTATATAGTTCTCCCTCAATACCAAATAAAGTGTAGTTTTACCATATTAACTAAATTATCTGAAAATTAAAGTTCATTATATGTTTTTGGCCAGTAAGATTGAGTTATGATAATTTTATGTTTCTACTTTTTAAGGAATCTGAAGCAGAAAAGCGCAAGAAAAAACGCCGCCCTCCCAGTAAACCTTTCGATCCTGAAGCTATCAGAGCCATAGGTGGCGAAGTTACGTCCGATGGTGATTTTTTGATCTTTGAAGGTAATCGTTATTCACGCAAGGGTTTTCTATACAAAAATTTTACCCTTAGCGCCGTTATAATTGATGGTGTTAAGCCAACCTTGGCAGAACTGGAAAGGTTCGAAGAACAACCTGAAGGAATCGATTTGGAATTGTCCGTGGATAAAGAGGAGAAAGCTGTTACTCATTCGTTCAGTGCGGGGGATAACGTTGAAGTTTGTGAAGGTGAATTAATCTATTTGCAGGTAAGATATCTATTCCGGTTTTTTTATATTATTAGTTTTCGTATCTTTTTGATATAATTTTATAGTTCTTGTATTATTAGTACAGTAGATAATTAGTAGATAAGAAACTCCTATATTTTGGCAAACCGTGATAGTATAGTTCTAAATAAAATAGTTCTAATGATCCGATGGCAACTCTTTTAGAGATAACTTTAATGATACTTTTATATTTTCTCTTCATCATCATCAACTTCATTTTTTCTAGGGTAAAATTATCAGCATTGATGGGCACATGATAACCGTAATGCCCAAACACGAGGATTTGAAGGAGGCATTGGTGTTTCAAGCTTATGAATTAAAGAAGTATTTCAAAACCGGAGATCATGTAAAAGTTTTGGCAGGTAATTGCAAATCGTATTTTTTTATTTAATAACCTGCCCTGATATAGATTTTACCTGTTAGCGATAATTAGTTATTACTATTAGTGTTAGTCTGATTTTGAATAAGCTAATACATTTTACAATTTGATTTTTCAAAAATAAAAGCCTCTGGAAAAATATGGTGAAAACGTCAATTTTCACTTTCAGGCCGCTACGAAGGAGACACTGGTTTGGTAGTCAGGGTAGAAAATAACAGGGTCGTATTAATATCTGATCTGACTATGCACGAAATGGAAATTCTACCAAAAGACTTACAATTATGTACTGATATGGCTAGTGGTGTTGATTCACTAGGAAAATTCGAATGGGGAGATCTTGTAAACTTGGATGCTGAAACTGTTGGAGTTATTATTAGATTGGAAAGGGAAAATTTCCATGTCTTGAATATGCATGGTAAGTTTTTTTTATAATTTTCTTTATCATGTAATATTATGTTATGAATATGAAGTATCAAAAACCGGGCACTTTGAATTTTTTGTGATTAATTTAAATTACTAAATATAAAACTGTTAGCTTTTTTACTTACCCTTATACCCATACCATTTACGTTAATTTTACCCCCTTTAGTTTACTTTTAGAACCCCAACGATCTTTTTTTATCTTCACAAACATATAAGGTTTTGGAAGGTTAAACAATAAACTGAAAAAAGTGAATGAATTATTAATCATGAATAATAATTATTATTCATTAAGATTTAGATATCTAACAATAAAACATTAAAAACTTTTGTTTTCAAAATAGATTCTAATAAAGGCCTTAAGGCCTTTATTTTGAACGTGAAGAATTTGAAATTGACCATTAAAAGATTATGATTTAAGTTTGTATACACCACTGTGGCCACTGCCCAAAAACTTACATCGGCCAAACTGATAGAACTTTTAATAAACGGATAGCAGAGCACAAAAGGGATTTCAATAATAGAAAAACAGATTATACGTACGCACTTCACAAATAAAAGAAAAGAAGAAATTATGGAAAGAATACATACAAGACAAAGCACAACCAACATATGGTAATTATAAGAGACAAAGAATAAAAGTTAAAGAGGTAGTTAAGAAAGAAAAAAAGAAAAGTTGGGAAAAATTCGGAGAAAAAATGGAAGAAAACAGCACAGAAAACGCAAAATTGTTTTATAGAACACTGAAAACCCTAAGAAGTAACAAAGAAACGAAACTAGAACAAATAATGAACAAGGAAGGAACAATAATAAACGACGATAAGACAATAATGGAAAGATCGAGGGAACATTTCCAGCTGATACTGAATGGAAATCAAGCGAATACGATGGAGAAAGAAAGCCAAATTAAGAGAGTATCCATGAGAAATACGAAAAATCCAGAAACTATAGAAAAAGAAAAACTGGAAGAAGCAATAAAAAAGATAAAGATTGGAAAAGCACCAGGAAACGATGAAGTAGCACTAGAAATGATGAAGTATATAGGAGTAAAAGCAAAAGAAAAATTGTTATACATATATTATAACCTTATATGGAAGAGAAAAGTAATACAAATTGTATTACAGAGAGAATGGACAAATGCAGTAATTATACCTATATACAAGAAAGGAAATACAAGAGTTTACAAGAACTATACAGGTATATCACTACTATGTGTAGCAGCAAAAGTATACGAAACCATAATAGAAAGGAAAATCAGAAAAGAAATTGAACATAAATTAGAGGACGTACAAAGCGGATTCAGGAAAGGACACAAGACACAAGACCATATATTCACCATGCAACAAGTAATAGAAATAACCTTTATATATGAGTTTTATAGACATGGAAAAAGCATTCGACTCAGTCAAAAAAACAGATATATGGGAAAGCCTAAAGAAGAAGCAAGTAACTGATAGAATCAACAAAGAGTATATACATGAAAACAACAAACACACTAAGAATGTCAAATATACAGTCAGAACCATTTGAAACAACCCAAGGAGTTAGAGAAGGGGAAGTCTCAGCCCATTGTTATTCATAAATGTAATAGATGAGATAGTGAAAGAATGTAAGAAAACATTCAAGAAATACTGCATCGGTTGGAACAGAATGCAAATGATAAACTCGGAGATGTGTATATTTGCAGACGACATAGTATTAATTGCAGAAACAGCAGAAAAACTTAAATACAACTTAGAGAAATGGAACCTAGAAGCAAGCAAATACAACTTAAACGTAAACAAAGAGAAGACTCAGATAATGAAAATATCAAGGAAAAAAGGGACGGAAGATCAACTAGAAATAATGATAGACCAACAAAAAATAATACAGACAAATTCATACAAATACTTAGGAAAAGTAATCAACAACAAAGGAGACATCGAGGACGATCTTAACAACAGAATGGAAAACACAGGAAAACTATTCCAAGCACTAAATAGAGGATTCCTTAATAACAAAGAAATATCAACAAAGACGAAGATGACAATATACAAAACAATATATAGACCTACAGTGACATATGGAGCAGAAAATCGGATACTAAACAAAAGGCATCAAAGCAGAATTTAGGCAGCAGAGATGAAATACCTCAGAAGAACGATCGGAATAAAAGAACTGATAGAATCAGAAATGAAGAAATAAGAGAAAGACTCAGAATCAAATCGATACTCGACTCAATCAAGGAGAAAAAATTGGCATGGTTCGGACATCTAACCCGGATGGACAATAATAGACAAGTAAAAAGAGTGTGGGACGCCAAACCAATAGGGAAGAACAGAAGAGGAAGACCCATTAAAGAATGGAACAGTGACATCTCGCAGATACTGCAGAGTAAGGGTAAGACTTGGCAGGAAGCAACAAAGATGGCATACAATAGGAAGGGATGGAGAAAGTTCGTTAAGAGCTAGGACACCTCTGAAGGTTGTTAAATATTGTAATATAAAGAATTGTATTATAAACGGCCCAACACCGAAAGGTACAAATGGGTCTACTGATTAAGTAAAAAAAGTAATTATTCGAAAAAATGAATTTCCACTAAGTAACGGTCGAACACATCAGATTTAGATATCTTATTATGTGTTTTTTCTTCTTTTAGTTCCGTCTCACACTAGTCCATTGTCAATACCCTTAAGCCACATTATTTTTATATACACTATATGTTTCGATGCCATTTTTTTGCCTATAGTAAGCAGTAACAGTTTAACACAGTATATGTTTAATTTTAACAAATGCACCTTTTCGTGTCTATTTTACTATCTAAGTATATATCCAATATTTCTTACTGTTGATGTCGAATAACAACAATTGAAGATGCATTGAATAGATGGGTGGAATACTTTAACCATGTACTTAATTTAGAGAACAAAGAAGAAAACCGGAGAACGGAGGAAGACGAGAGGGCAGAGGAACCACCAACGATTCTTTGCCGAATTAAAAAACTAGCCAGAAACAAATCACCCGGAATAGATAACTTTCCAGCTGAACTATAGCCATATAGAACTATATATAAAGAAGGTGGCCAAGATACCATAATGGCACTAGGGCAACTCATAAAAGAAATATAGGCACAGAAATTCCTCCCCAGTGGTTGGAATATCGAAATACTTTGCACTCGACACAAAAAACGAGATATCTTCGAATAATCTAACCACAGAGGAATTAGACTTCGATGTGCAGCGTATAAAACATTCTCCACTGTTTTATGCAACCGTATGACACCATATGCAGAAGGAATTACAGGAAAATGCCAGGCTGGTTTCTGAGGTGGTAAATCGACAATTCATCAGATTGGCAACCCTGAGAAAAATTTTAGAAAAAACATTGGAGTATGGCATAGATACTCATGACATATTTATAGACTACAAAGTAGCCTACGACTCTGTAAACAGAAGAGAAATGTTTAAAGCAATAAAAGAGCTAGGAGTACCAAATCAGTTGGTAAATTTAACAAAACTAACTTTTCAAAAAGTTAAATGTAGAGTACGAATCCAGGAGGAACTGTCTGGGACTGCAGAGAAACTGTCTGAGAATATATAGGCAATCAGTACAAATCTTTGCATATGGTGATGATATCAATATTGTTGGAAGAACGGAAAACGCTGTACGAGAGGCCTATACGTAGTACATGAAAATAAGCACGCAACCACAAATCCTACGACCACTTGTTATAGAAAACGACATCATTAAATCAGTGAACGAATTTGTATACCAGGGAGCGTTTGTTAATACTGAAAATAATATTAATAAAATAATACTAAACCGCAGAATTTGCACGGCCAACAGATGCTATTTTGGGCTCAATCTCCTTCAATCCTCGATTATATCAAGTAATACAAAGGTGAAACTCTACAAAACACACACCAGTCCTGATATATGGTTCAGACACCTAGACTCTGACAAAAAGTAATGAAAACATATTAAAATGTTTCAAGAGAAAAGTACTAAGGCGAATCTATGGAGCGGTGAATGACAATGGACTGTGGACAAGACGATACAACTTCGAACTTTATAGAATATACCAAGAACCAGATGTCGTTCAATATATTAAGATGGCTATATTCAGTATATTAAGAAGGCCGTCTGAGGTGGATAGGGCATCTAATGCGGATAGAACAAAATGACACAGCTAGAAAAACGCTCCTTAATAGGACACATAGGAGCACACTGGTCAGAGAAGGAGAAGAAGAGGAAGACCCAGAACAAGGTTCCTTGGTGGGATTATGTGCTTGGCCGAGGAAGGTGATGGATAGAGACGACTGGAGAGAAATTCTTGAGGAGGCTAGGACTCTTATGCACGTTCGCACATTCATGTTTTTAATCATCTTTTAAAGTTGTATATCTTAGTCAGCTACAAGGAACAAAAACTATATCATCGGCATATATAATATTGCATTTCTTTTAAGGCCTACGATAATATAATTTCGGAAAAGAAGTTAAATAATATATGAAAAAGGATGAAATCTTGTTACATTCCTTTTTGTATTGCAGCATCTTCGGATACGGCAACTTTTTTTCTTATCTATAATTCTCGTATAATTACTATCTAAGCCTATGGTGAACTATTCTATCTATATTCATCAATATTCAGACTGATCTAAAAATAAATTTTCATACTTCGATACAGTTAGCATTGATGATTTTATTTGATTTGTGAATGAATTGTCTACCTAGTATATGTCTTACAGATTTCATTCTTTCAAGGTTTTTCTGTTCGTCGTGTGTTTCCTAATTTTTTTGCCTAAACATCGTAATGTGGTACTTTTTTTTGACTAGATTTTTCTCTTTTATTATAAGAGACTCCCTATAAATATTGGAAGAAATCATGATCCTCAGTAATGGGGAAACGACAAGAGAGAGAGATAAGACACTTTCTGGAAATAATCGTGGAGAATCATGCATAATTAACTAATATTAGCTTTAAAGGCGCCAACGTGAATGTGTCCAGTTTTTCGCCAAGCAAATATTTTGAGAATAAGTTCTCATTTATGAGATATCTTGTTTTATGAGATGAAATTTATAAATTGGATTTTCATGGCCTTATGATTTTTAGGCAAAGTTGTTGAATGCAGGCCTGGATCATTACAAAAGAGAAGAATCCATAAATACACTGCAGCCTTGGATTCATACCGAAACAATTTACATAGAAGAGATATGGTCAAAGTAATAGATGGGCCCCATTCTGGATTTTCTGGAGAAATTAAACATCTCTACAGGTAAGTTTTCGATTGAAACGTTCTTTTTTTTTTAACTTATATTAGGTATTTAAACACAACAGTATTTGAATAGATTAATTCGATAAAAGGATGCCAAAAATTATGACAAAATATAAACAGTGTCGGAAAACGAACAATATATGTCAAAAATATATATTATGATGTACTTACAATAAAATTTTCAGCAAAATATAGACGTTATAAACCACTTTTTCACTTATATGAAAATTCTCTTCAGATTACAATAATTTATACACCTATTTTGGCGGATGGCATAATTGTGCAATAGCTGGTGTTTTCTATGTATACAGTCTACGCTCAGGTAGCTTAAAACATCTGTTATCATTTCTGATTCTTGACAAAATTCATATAACCTGTGATGATCTCCCTCATGATCGCCTAATTCTCTAACAATATCTGTCCTATCGACATATTCTTGACCTAGGTTTTCTAAAAAAATGTCTGTCAGCTCTTAGTCTATAAACAATGATATATATATATATATATATACAGTGCTAGTCAAAAGTCCGTTCCCCCCCTCGTATCTTTTGAACGGTTATTGTTATAATAGTGAAATTTGGAGGGAGGTAATAAACAGACGTAGGCTTCTCAAATAGTCATAACAGGTGTAGTAATAGTGACAGATGACGTAACAGCGCCACTGTGACAGATAATTTTAAATGGGACCTTATGGCAAGTGATACATCGTTTAAAAGGTATTGGAAATACCTATTCAGTTATAATAATTTTGTTTGAGTATAAGCTAATTTAGATGAATAAATTAAATAAATACTAAACTTGTAGCTTCTCAGTTAATTGATAAATATTTAATAACCAGTTCTTCAAGTAAGTGTTCAAAATGTGCTCCATCTACTTCCTGACAGTAATGCACCCTATTTCTAAACGCTTGTGTCGGGGGAAATTGCCCTACATTCTTCAACAATTTGTTCTTTGAAAATGTCAATATTGTGGGTTGCTGTAGCATAAACTTAAGATTTTAAGTATCTCCACAGAAAAAAAATCTAATGGTGTGAGGTCCGGTGACTGAGCTGGCCATTCTTTCGTACTTCGTCGTCCAATCCATCTACCACGATATTCCTCATCTAGGTAACGTCTTACTGCACCATAATGGTGTGCAGGGGCACCATCTTGTTGAAACGTTATTTCCAAGTTACCGAATTCATCTGGATTTTCCTCCAGAATTTCAAGTATTATTGGTTCAGTTGCATTTTGTAACATCTCTAGATACACTTTGGTTCAATTAGTATTGCTAAAAACAGGCCCAACTATGTGGTTTCCCAAAATACCTGCCCAAACATGTATTTTTTTTAAATTCAGTATGTGTTTCACGAAAGACGTGAGGATATGTGTCACTCCCAATACCTCACATTGTGTGTGTTAACATTTCCATTGAGAGAAAAAGTACTTCTGTCACTAAAACAAATTGTTTTTATGTGATTGGGCTGTTGGTTAATTTTATTGGACATATTTTCACAGAATTCTAGTCTTCGGTTGGGGTCATCATCTGAAAGTTGGTGCAAAATGTTTAATTTGTATGGATGAAATTTGTTTTGAGCCAACACTCAGTGTACCTACTTTGTCTTTTGACTAATTCAATTTTTTTGTCATCACTAATTGTTGGTCGACCAGATCGTTTGACATCTTGAACACTACCTGTTTGTTTAAACTTCCGAAGAAGCTTTCTCAAATAAGATCTCGATATAGGGCGATCGAGGTACCTCTCATTAAAAAGACGTTCCGCTGCATGGAAATTATTTTCACATTCACCAATTATTATCACAGCTGCTATTTTGTCGGCTGCAGTACGTACCATTCTGCCTTTGTAAAAATTTAAACGTCTCGTTAAACAATAATTAAACTAAATATTAACTAAGAACAACTAACTAAAAACAACTTGACTAAACTTAGATTGACCAAACTAAGTAGAAACATAAACTAAATATTGGGCTATAAACGCTTTTGCAAACTAAAATCAACTAGAGAATTGACAAACGTCAACTTTTTTTGCCAAATAACTAAAGGCCGACGTTAAAATTAAATGCCAAATTAGAATTTTATTATTTATTTAATTTATTCGTCAAAAGCATCTTAAATCCAAACAAAATTAGGATGATTGAATAGGTATATTAAAATAATTGTAGTTTTGCATTTAATCAATAAATATTCTAACGTTCGCCTTTTGCTAATTGTCAAAAAAGTTGACGTTGACGTAAAAACAATTAGAGAATTGAAAAACGTCAACTTTTTGACAAGTAACCAGAGGCAGAGGTTTTAATATTTATTAATTAAATGCGAAACTACAATTTTAGTATTTATTTAATTTATTTCTCAAAATGAGCTGAAACTCAAATAAAATTATTTTGACTAAATAGGTATTTTCAATGCCTTTCAAACGAGGTATCACTTGCCATAAGGTCCCATTTAAAATTATCTGTCACAGTGGCGCTGTAACGTCATCTGTCACTATTACGTCACCTGATATGACTAGTTGAGATGCCTACGTCTGTTTATTACCTCCCTTCAAATTTCACTATTTTAACAATAACCGTTCAAAAGATACGAGGGGGGGGAACGGACTTTTGACTAGCACTATATATATATATATATATATATATATATATATATATATATATATATATATATATATATATATATAGAAAGAATAATCCACATTTGCTACGTTGAAAGTTGTATCTGTTGTGTGGTTATTTCTTTGACTTTCAACCCTGTATATTATGGACATAAGTACATTGGGATCAAAGAAACATTAAATATGATATTATGAACCTATTAATTTTTCATTTGAAAATAACTACAAAACTTTTTACAGAAATTTCGCATTCCTATATTCAGTGGAATTTTTGCAAAATGGTGGTATCTTTGTGTGCAAAACTAAGCATCTTCAGTTAGCTGGAGGCAACAAGAACATGCCTTCTGCAGATATGGGCATTGGAATGGAGTTTATGTCTCCGAGAAGAAGTTCTCCAATGCACCCATCAAGTGGTGGAGGTGCAGCAGGAGGAGGAGGTATTTATAATGTAGATTTTTTGAATAATACTATTACGTTTGTATTTAACTATTAAATATAAACGTAATTGAATAATAAATATATTTATTTTAAAATATTTCTCTGTTCTTTAAGCTTTCGGAGCCTTTGGAGGTGGTAGGCCTGCTGGTGGAGCCGGTAGAGGAAGAGGGAGCAGAGATAGAGATCTTATCGGTACAACTATCAAAATTATTAGAGGGCCTTATAAGGGTAATATTGGTATAGTAAAAGATGTTACTCAAAGTTCAGTCAGGATAGAGTTGCATACATCTTGTCAAACTATATCTGTTGATAAGAACCACATAAATGATGTCGGTAAGTACAGATTTTTTAAACAAATTTTGAATAATTCCATTATTATTTATATTTGCTTTTTAGGAGCTCCGGGCGGTAGAGATGGCAGCGCTTCCAGCTATGGCAAAACTCCGGCATATGCGGGTAACCAGACACCTCTGTACAGAGATTCTGGTAACAAAACTCCCATGTGCGATTCTGGATCTCGTACTCCCTTGCATTATGGTTCAATGACTCCAATTCACGACGGTTCCAGAACACCAAATGCCAGTTCAGAATGGGATCCTGCTGTCTCTGGGAATACTTATCCATCACCAGGATATAATCCTAGTAAGTACATAGTTTTTTATATAATTATACTCATTGTTTTTAATTTTACCATTTTTTCTCTTATATAAGAGAAAAAATAATATTAAAGGTAATAATAAGAATAAGAGCATGCTTCAGTAGGGAAAATCCTTCATCAAGAGATAGCTATGAAACTGGGACTGCTCCAAACAAACTATCTCACATATTATCAATACTTTCCAGAGAGTATGCTTGAGAATGACAATGTCAAGCTATACTGGGACTGTACTGTGCTCACTGACCAAACAGTGGCATACAATACCGGATCCTCTATCTCGCCGGATCTCGCACTAATTAATAAACTAACGAGACAAACAACACTTACCGATGAGGCGATACCTAACAACAATAATCTGCGTGTAAAATACAATGAAAAGATCGCCAAGTACAGAGATCTGGAAATTTAAATACGAAAAAAATGGAGAATAGAAAGTACACAGACATTACCTTTTACCAGTTTTTTCTACTAGTAGAGTTATTCCGAAAAACCTTCTAGAAACTGGGTCTAAATGTCATCTCTATAAGACTATGCAGAAAGCTGTGCTATTTTCGACTTCTAGTCGAAAGACCTCTTTTCTTCATCAGAGCTCCAGGTATTGTAGGTATCAGGGCTAAATCTGGATAAGTATTAAATATCTTAATCTGGATAGGTATTAAGTATCTTAATTTTAAATGTGTCTAAAAATGTGAGTTTGATCGTTATGAACGTAGTCATCCTGCAGTGGGATCTTCCACTATTCGAACTGATTACGCTCATGACTTATTGGAATTATATATACGAAATAAAAGGACAGAGTGGAATATAAAATATTGCAAACCATTTTTAAGAATAAAGTAAGTAAAAAGAATAATGAAACAGAAAGAAACTACTGAAAATAAAAATTATGCCTCGCTAGAATAAGTTCGCACAGTTGAATTATACAGAATCGTAAGGAATAATAGGAGTAGAGGGATACTACCATCAATCAAATCGAAAGAATGGAAATCATATTTTAGATTAGTGTTTGATAAGAAAGAGAAGACCAAGAAAATGAAGACCTAACCAGACGTCGGAGTGATGGGTTTTCCACACGAATAAGATCAGACGAAGTTATCAACGCCCGTATATCACTAAGAAACGGAAAATATGGCGACATACTCGAAGAGCTCTTGAAATGTGTCACTTCAGCTGAGTATGAACATCTAACAAAGCTGTTCCAAAGATACATAAACTGCGAGAAAGTACTATACGGAAGAAGCACATCATATAAGATAATTCATAACAAATATCAGCTTCTTCCTATATCAGTTGGCCGGACGTTAGATTGATAAGAAAATTAAATTTTAGAGAACAAAAATAAAAGCATAGCGTAAATTTTATAAGTTTTAATGTATCGAGCAATATTTTTGAATTTCCTAATTATAGAAAATATATTATAACGTAATGCAAACTACTGATTAAACAGAATAATAATAAATTAAAAAAAAAAACGCATTTGTTGCAATTTTTCCATCAATTCGTTGACGGACCTGGCAGGATGTTTTCTCAAAGCTTTTTTCATTTCGCACCACAAAGTCTCTATCGGGGACAAGTCGGGACTGTTAGAAACGCATTCAAGAAGTGGTATATTGTTCTGAAGCTATTTTCTTGTGGCATTGTAAATTAATTACTATTTATAACTGGGAATAAGCCACAATTAAAGATAAAAATACGTTTATTGACGTTTCAATTTCCAATTCGGAAATCGTTCTCAAAATACAAACAGTGTATTTTGAGAACGATTTCCGAATTGGAAATTGAAACGTCAATAAACGTATTTTTATCTTTAATTGTGGCTTATTCCCAGTTATAAATAGTAATTAAGAAGTGGTATGTCATGATCTTCAATCCATTTTAAACTCATTTTTGAGGTATGACAACCTGCACCATCCTGTTGGAAGACAAAATCTTCCGCTGATGTTAAACGGTGTTCTATAATCGGTAAACGAGATTCTTCTAAAATATTCAAATACTTGTACGTGTTTACAATCCTATCGATAAAATGTAACTTCCCCACACCTTTAGAGGATATGCTGCCCAAGATCACGACAGATGCCGGAAATTTGACTTTTCTCTTCAGACAGTCGGGATGGAAAGCTTCATGATTCCTGCGAATGACACGAATCCAATCTTTATGCTTTTTTGACCATCTTGGTCTATTTTTCTTTTGTTGTAATGTTAAAAGTGGCTTTTACTTAGGGTAAAATAAAATGAAATTTATTAAAACAATTCGATCTAGATTCGATCTAGAAACGTGTCTTCCAATAACGTCACTCCATAAAATGCTTGACTCCATTTAATTTGCTCGTCGATTTTTCACTATAATGCGTCTTAATGCCCTTCGATCTGTTTCGGTTATTTTACTTTTTCGTACATTTCGAGGTTTTGTGACGACCGACCCTGTAGTTTTGTATCTTTTGACTATATTTCTTACACTATACCGTGACAATTGCAACATTTTCGCGATTTTCGAATTGTATTTTCCACAATTAAAAAATCTAATAATGATTGAACGAATATTCTCATCGATAACCTTACCTCGATCCATTGTACAATCCACAAACGACAAAAAGCTTTACAATACCATGATACTATAACTAAGAAGATAAGATATTGCGCATAAGTCGTGACGTCATTGGAGAGTTGCACGTTCGAAATGTCAGTTTTTTGTATGTATCAATAAATAATCTTTAATAAACAGTTTGGAGATATCCTTATATGTACGATTATTGTAATTATTAAACCTCTTAACTTATTTTCGTCTAGAAATTTCATCACATAATGCATACAAATCCCATTTAACTTTAACAGGAATTCAAATTCTACACTCCAATGACGGCATGCGCGAATTCGACCGATTTTGTGCTACGGGAAGATCCTGTCTTGTTAGTCATAGTATCATGTACAATATTACAAAATACATTTGACATTAACTGACAGTATTATTGTTTTGTTGTCATTTTTCCATAGCTACCTTTGGATTTAACGTTTTTATGAAAAAATCAACGTATGTTGACATAACTGAATGCATAGCCAGGGTTTAGTGATTTTTTTATTGTTGAAAATAAATAAAAAACCATAACGGTAATGTTTTTAATAAATATCAATAAAAATGCCATATTAATTAATATGGGAACTTATAAAAACATGTAGAGTATAATTTGTTTATGGTAATCGACTTCAACTGCAAATTCCGTAGGTGGGCCACCCAATATGGGAAGGGGCTCGTATATTGATATAAATCATTTCTATAATACAAAATGGAAACTCCTACCGTATAATTGCTAAAGGGAGAGACTGTATTACCTAAATACCTAAAATAAAATAATGGCCGTTCTACTTAATTGAAAAATAGGTATAGAAATTATTACAGATAAGTAGCTTGCGAAAAACTGCTGTAAGAGTGTAGAAAAAAATTATAAAATAATAATTATAAAATAATTCTTTTCTGTAGTTGCTTCTATTTATAGAAACTCAATGTTCGTAGAGTGAGTTGTAGATAAGTGTTAAGAAAATGAACCCATTAAGATAGTAATTATTGTAATTCTTTGTTTTAGGCACTCCCGGCTATCAAGTCAACGGTCCATATACGCCGCAAACACCTGGTACAATGTACGACGGTAGCTACAGTCCGTATCAGGCAAGTCCTGGATATCAGAGCGCCATTTCCACTCCCAGTCCCGGAACCGGATACGGCCAGTCTCCTGCTTCGAGCAACAATCCGTACAGCACTCCTAGTTCTGGGTATAGCCCTAACATGCCGTACAATCCTCAAACTCCCGGTGCAGGTCTGGATGTGCTACCTATGACTGATTGGCATACTGTCGATATTGAGGTTAATTTTTTAATTATTAAATTCACCTATCGGTAGGCTACTACATGCCTTTAAACCGTTGTACAGTGAGTCATAATCAGTAAATTTCAGTAGGTTATTAAAAAGTTAAAACATAAGCAGATAAATATTCTCTAGAAACAATAGACAAAAGACATTGAGACGTCTTCAATCATATACAATACATGTGTAACACGTAACATGCATACACAATACACAGACACTCTCTCACACACAAATGCTTATAACACATATTAATAATACAGAACACTTAGAATAATCAGAATTTGAAGCTCCATAGGGAAAAAATCTACCCTTATATATTTTCAGCCAAGCATGGCTGTTGCTTAACACACCGCGGCCAAGTGTGTCAATTTTCTTTGGCGGTTATACATTCTTTTTAACAAAATTCTTAAATAATCTTTTTTGAGAATGATTTCCGGAATAGAAATCGAAACGTCAAATTTTTGTAGTTAAAAAATGTCATTATCATTACATTCAATTTTAATCACATCATTTCAATAGTAATACGAATCAAACAGAAGTAACTACTACCACTATCCCCGTCTCAAATGACATGGCTGAACTAAATATGTTAAAAGTCCTGAGGGAACAAATGGGTACAATGTTAAATCTGTTCACCATTATCGTCACTAAATTAACAAATTAATCAAATTCTTAAAAATAGCTATTTGGAATGCCCACGGGCTAACAAATCATGCTCAAGAGGTTAAAGCTTTTATATTAATACACAATACCGACATAATGTTAATATCTGAAACACACTTTACAAATAGAAGTTATCTGAAAATCTCCAACTATGTAATATATAACACCAGACATCCAGATGGTACTGCACACGGAGGAAATGCAATCATAATCAAGTCACCGATAAAACACCATGCATTAAATAAGTTTAAAAGATACTATATACAAGCAACAAGTATTAGCATAGAAAACTGGAACGGTCCTTTAACAATAACTGCAATATACAGTCCACCACGACATACCATAGCCAAAAATCAATACCAAGAATTCTTCGACACCCTTGGAAACAGATTTTTAGCAGGCGGCGATTATAACGCAAAATACACTCACTGGGGATCCAGGTTAATAATCCCGAAAAGTAGGCAGTTATATATGGCAATGAAAACCAACAACCTTAAATACATATTCACTGGCATACATAGCCACATACTGGCCCACAGACACAAACAAAATTCCAGTATTGGTCGATTTCTGTGTGACCAAAGAAATACCACTCGAATCCCAGACATCAAAATCTTGTTTCGATCTTTCATCCGACCACTCTCCTGTTGTGGTCACGATATCCACAAATATCCTAGAAACAGAATCTCAGCCATATCGTAGTAATAAATATACCAATTGGATTAAATTCTATTATTTTTTGATGGACTATTATTGATGACAGACTGGATCTAAACATCCTACTAAAATCTGATGGCGATATTGTCGAACCAGTAGATCAATTAAATAGGATAATTCAGGAAGCAGGGCTGGCAGTCAACGCCTACACAAACAAGAGCAATCGTACAAAAGATTTACCCAACGAAATAAAAGAACAAATCGCAGAAAAACAAAGACTAAGGAAAATCTGGCAAAAAACCCAAGCACAATAATAATAGCAAAATAAAAATAGATTCAACCAAACTACAGCAAGATTAAAAACATTGTTAAACAACAATAAAAACAATGACATAAAACGATATTTACAAAATCTATCTACCATGGAAGCCTCCGAATACTCACTGTGGAACGACAACTTTCTAATCCGCCTATCCGGGCCAGTAACGGACAATGGGCCAAAAGTAAGAAAGAAAAAGCCACAGTCCTGAAGGAAGTGTTCCAACCACATACTCAAAACAACAACTCCGATGCAGAAGATTATATACAATCGTATTTAGAATCTCCATACCAACTAGAAGCACCATTGGAGAAATTCACTGGAAAACAAGTTTTCAACAAAATCCAAACAGATCTAAATCTGAAGAAGTCCCCAGGGTTTGACTTAATCACTGTAAGAATTCTAAAAGAACTTCCCAAGAAAGCAGTGCAATATTTAACTCAGATTTTTAATTTAACTCAGATTTAACGCAATTCTAAGAATTGGTCACTAGCCCCTTTTGTGGAAAGTTGCACACAGATCATTTTAATACCCAAACCAGGCAAACCTGTAGAAGAAGTTCAGTCCTATAGACCTATCAGTCTATTTTTAGTGATGTCAAAGGTTTTTGAAAAACTACTACTAGACAGATTACAGCCAATACTCGTACAACAGCAGCTAATACCCAACCTTCAGTTTGGATTTAGACAACAGCATGCTACCATTGAGCAAATTCACCGAATCTGCAATTCCATAAACAAAGCCTTGGAAGAGAAGAAATACTGCTCTGCAGCCTTTTTGGATATTTCGCAGGCTTTTGATAAAGTCTGGCACACTGGCCTGCTATACAAAATAAGACAACTCCTTCCTCCCAACTACTTTCTAATCCTCAAATCCTCAAGTCCTATCTTTCCAACTGACATTTCCTAGTAAAAGTAAAGGATCAGTGTATTAACTTATATCCAATTAAAGCTGGAATACCCCAGGGTAGTGTCCTGGGACCGGTTTATACTATATATACCTACTTTACACAGCAGATCTTCCAAGTCAGAACATCGTCACAGCCACATACGCAGACGACACAGCAATCCTTGCGGCTCACTCAAACCCGTATATCGTCTCACAACTGCTCCAGACCAATCTCGACAAAATAAGGATTTGTTTACAAACACGGCGAATTAAAGTTAACGAAAGCAAGTCAGTACATATAACGATCACTAATGAAAAGGTACATGCCCAACCGTCTCATTAAATAACCAAATACTACAACAAAAGGATGATGTAAAATACTTAGGTATGCACCTGCACCGCAGATTAACGTGGAAGAAACACATATTCACGAAAAGAAAACAGTTGGGTCTGAAACTCGGTAAAATGTACTGGCTAATAGGAAAAAGATCACAACTGAATTTGTACAATAAAATCCTAGTATACAAGTCAGTGATAAAGAAAATATGGAGCTATGGGATCCAACTGTGGGAATCTGCGTCAAGATCCAATTTCGACATACTGGAGAGATTCCAATCGAAGACCAATCGCGAATGAATTCATCAATCGCGATCTTCAGATGAAAACTGTCAAACAAGAAATTGCCAGTTACTCCCAAAAATATGACAGACGACTGCAAAACCACCCCAACAGGCTAGCGAAGAACCTGCGATGAGGCTTCAGGCAAACAGAAGGATAAAGCGTCCTACTTCAAACGATCTACCAAGATTTAAAATTTTTAAATTTGAAATTTTTTTTATTTATTATAAACATTATACAGTGAAACCTCGATTATCCGTCAGGGCCCCAAGGGTATGACGGATAATCGAAAAGACGGTTAACAGAACATTAAAAAAAATCATAGTTTAACTCTCAAATTTTATTTGTGTGTTTTATTTGACAATATAAGAGGGATTTATGTTAGTACAGTCGAATCAATTTGAGTTAAAATATTCCGAAATCTTTGTTTTTTTATTGTTACTTCACATTTTGCAACGGCTGAATTTTTTAATCGACGTAGAATCATCAAATCTACCTTTATTGCTTCTTCTTGCCGAGAATACCACTTGACGAATTGTATGTGCGATGCACTTTATCTAGCTTCTTTACGCAAATCTTTGTGAGTTGCAATAGCATCATCAACATCGCCACCATCAAAGTCTCTGTCAGCTTCTGAATCAGTTTCGTCCGCCTCTGTTGTTATTTCAACGATTTCATCATCTGTCAGCAATCGACAGCCGTTTGCGTCTTCATTCATCTTTAGGTAACGAAAACAAAACAATTAATTCAGCCATACCTTCATTTGTTACCGCTCGGCTATCACGGGGCATTTTCATCTTGAGTTGATTCAGGCCATAATTTATTCCACGCTCTTTTCAGCGTTACTTCACATAACTTCACGTGTATATTTCAACAAATTTCGTTTGGCTTATCGCAATAATCAAACACAATTAATTGATGACTAAATTTTTACTTCTGTTGTCAATATAACTTATGTATGGACCCTAACAGAGGTGACGATTAATAGAGAGACGGATAATTGAGGTTCCACTGTATTAGAGTCACAAATAATTTTGTTACTAAAATTATGATTCAATAGGTTATTGTCATTGGACAGTCTCCTGCAAGTCTCTTGTAATCTAATTAAACAATTTACTTATTGTAATCCTTATTACAGAGTGTAAATAAATGGGATGTTCAAAAAAAATTACATTCAATGTTGGCTTAATCCCATATAAATACAATATTTAACTTAAATTTTTAATTTCTGAATATCTGTCGTATGTACTTTTTCATGGACGTATAAACATAGATGGACACAGCAATAAGATACCTTTAACACACAATGTTTTGAAGCTTCGATAGAATGTGATGCTTCCGCAAGAGCATAAGCGTGCTTGAATTTTTACTCGCTCGCGGGTAATTATTCAGATTTTAAAAATTGGAAGTAGTAATAATGTATAAAAACACGTTACAACACAAAGAATTAAAAAAAATCGAGAGTTTAACTATTAACAAATCACGTCTTTATAGAAAAATTAAAATACAATTTTATTTGCTTTAAAATTAATACAATTAAATATAGTTGAATTCAAGTTAATTTTTTAATAGTATCAAAATAATGCTACAATAAAAAATCTTTATGTTTTCTCCTTAATTTGCTACCCAAATAGTTCGATCGTCAATATTATTTGGAAACCTACATAGAAAAATAAATAAGTTTTATTCATTTCACTAATTTATTTGTATCCATGAGAAATATTAAATTAAAAAGGTACTAAATAGATCTTTTTTAATCAGGTGATGTCTACTTACAATTTATAAATGTCTATCATATCTTATTCAATACATTAATGAACACGAATAAACCCAATGGTACGCCTATTAAAATGTAAACAAACACGCTTCCTCATTTCCTCATCTTAAATAATTTAAATTGTATGTACTTACAAATATCACTCAAAATACAGCCAAAATATCGAAAAATAACTTTTTCCTCATTTACTGTTAAAAGTAAACAAACATGGAACAGCATTTGAAGTTTGACGTAGATCCATAAGACAGAGAAATGTAAACAACCGTTGCCATTTATAAATAGTTTTCAGTGCTTCTACATATAAAATAATTGATTATTATACGCTATCATTAAAAATGATAATGCACACTATGTGCATACATGATATTTTGATTACAATTAAATATATTAATATAACCAATAAATTATTATTTTGGTTTGATAGCACCTGTAGAGTATAAAATGTGGAGTAATATTTTCAGCGACTCGCGAATAAGAAATTTTAAAACAAAACGTGACAACAGTTGAAGGTGTTCAGAATGTGACTTATTCAAATAATTTTGACTTCACAATTTTATGTAAATAACTGAGTCCATCTGTGTTTATACGTCCATGTACTTTTTTATCAAAATTGTGCAAAAAATATTATAATGCGTATATATATATATATATATATATATATATATTTACAAATATAATTGTTTATCATAAGTGTACTATAACAATAATTACAAGAACTTTAGCTCCCTTTTTCCCCTCTTCATTCTATCCTCTCAGTATTTTCAGCTTTCAGACTAACTCTTAAATTAGAAGATTAGAAACTAGAGTGGTTTTCGGCCTGTCACGATGCGATCTTTACATATCTAATTTGCTCCCCTTTGTCACTTAAAGCTTCTCATTCATAATAACTCTTGGTAGACCATATCATGTTAAGTTAATGTGGTTTACTAGTTTTATAAATCTAGCTTGTCTTTTAATTAGCCAAAACTATATCGTCTATACTTATAACACGTGATTTCGTTTAAGCCAAATGTTATTTTATAAAAGGAAAAGACAGTTAGGATTTGATTTCACGTATAATGCGTCTGTATATCCGCTTATACGTATTTCGCTCTAAAAGGGATCTTCTTCTCTGACCGTGAAAACAAATCTTTCCTGTCGTAGTAGAAGACGCAAATAGCGACATCTGATAATAAATCCGTAAACTAATTTTTCGAAACCAAATTTTATAACATTAAAATAAATTACAATAGTTATCATATTTTTATTAACTACAATTACATATTATTTTCTTTTTTTTTGTACTAGATTTTTAATAGCTTGGGGCTTAATTTTCCTATATAATGTGATCAATATATTTTTGTACGTGTTGATTTATAGCATTTTTCATATAAAAATGCTTGCATGTCATTCAAGATTTACGACGTCAGAACCCCACAGCGTTGCCAAAATATCAGAATAGTTAGTAAGTGAGGAATTTTTAAAATGTCAACTATTTGTCAAACTGTTATCTATCTATCTATCTGTAGCCCAAAATCTATTCATGTGTTGAATATAGGCCTCTCCCATTTGTCTCTGTCTTGTTTGTCTTTTCCACATTGGACCTGCGCCAACTGTTATATTAACAGTAAATACACTTAGTTTTAAGATTACTGCTACACACTAAAATACATAAGAAAGCATTTTAATACAAAATTATATATTCTAAATTTTAAACTTTCCTCTTTTAATGCCTCAAAGTAAAAACGTCCAGCCATTATTTTTTGTTCAAAATAATCTTTTTTATATGAAAGCTTATCAGCTTGCTACAGACTATTAATTTGTTTTGGTATAGCACAATCACAATACACAACAATAGTTAGTTTTTAAAGCTATTAATCTAAATTTAATATGTATTTATAAATACAATTTATTAATATATAATATATTATGATCAAATTGTGTAAGAAATTAAAACATAAACAAAATTCTTACTCTAAAAAAGCGGCAACACTTTTGCCACACGCTGAACTGTCAATAAAATTTGAAGTATTCCCGTATCAGTTGCGTACAATTCTCTAATCTATTTAATTAAAATAATTATTTTGTGGAATATTAGACTTGAAGAATTATTTCATAAAATTTATATTATTAACAATAACAAATGTTTTTGGTTATTTAATCAATATAATTCCAAAAATTTCCAATATAATAATGATTACATTTTTATGATTATTACACCATGTTAACGCCTATGAAAGATCGAGCAGTTCCGTATGGGTTTCGTATTATTAGCTGTGCTAGGAAAATTTAAACTTTAAGGTTGACGTTCTGGAAATTTTAAATATAAGTGACGTCACTTTATATAAATTGTGAGCAAGTGTGCACACTTGCTCACAATGCACTTGCACATTGCACTTGCTTGTGTGCAAGCATTTTTATATGAAAAATGCTATACCTTCTTAATAAACATGTGTGGACAAGTGTGTCTTGTTTTCGAAATATTCTAACACCGAATAATTTGTTTTTATAGGTAAGAATTCGCGATAGTCATGACGATCCTGGCTTAGTTGGTCAAACTGGCGTTATTAGAAGTATATCTGCAGCTATGTGTACAGTTTTTCTTCCTGCAGAAGATAGAGTTGTTAACATAATATGCGATCATCTAGATCCAGTACGACCACAGAGAGGAGATCAGTTTAAGGTAAGTTATACCTATAAATGTTAAGGACACATATACAGTTAAAATCTGTTATATCCACATCGAAGAGGCAGCTAATATTTCGCTTTAATTAGTTATTCTTCTAAACACCATTATTAACACTGATAGATTTACTAGATGTTTTTCGTCGAGTTCGGAAAAGTTGAATCTACATAGAAAGCAAATGAAATCTTCTCCAAAATTGTGAGCTTTTTTTTTGAAGAATGATCCATATATTGTCATATTATTTTTCTTTTGATTTTGTAAAAAAATCTACAATTTTCTCTCTCTTCGATATTAAAATATTTTGGCTACCATTAACTGTTTTGTTCCTGCACTATGAGGTACTTGTACCAATGTACCAAAAAGTAATGTTTTATAAAGAGTTTAGAGAGTAATATCAGTGACAGTAAACGATATTTTAATTGACACTTCATGTGTGGCTTATTTTGTTTAATACTCTGTTTAGGGTAGAGTTTTAAATATTTTTTAAAATATTACAGGTAATCATTGGCGAAGAACGAGAACAAACTGGTGAACTTCTCTCTATAGATGCAAACGAAGGAGTAGTTAAAATTAAGGAGGAAATTACTATGCTGCCCTTACAAAATTTATGTAAGATGAGACCCTCAAGTCAAAAAAATATGTAATTTTTTGAGTACATTATAACTTGAAAATTGATTGTGAACGTGAAAATAATTTGGTTTCAATTTTAGGTAATATATTAATAATAAATATATGTCGTATCTATTTGACAATTGTAAGAATAGAGTATTAGTAGCTATAAATGTGTTTTATTTTTCACCTGTAATTTAGTAAATAAATGAATTAAATATATCATCATCATCATTGGTGCTACAGTCCTATAAAAGAGCCTCGACCTTCCCAAGTCTATTACGCCAGTCAGTTCTATCCATTGCCAACTGTTGCCAGTTTGCTGCGCCTATTTTTCTACCATCCTTATCTACAACATCCCTCCATCTGAGTTTTGGCCTACCCCTACTTCTACTTTCCACAGGTTGTGACATAAGAATTCTTCTAGGAGGGTTGTTCTGCTGTGATCTTGCCAGATGTCCCGAGTCCTGACCATCTTAGTCTTCGTATTTTTATAAGCGATACTACGTCTTTAACACCAAATATATATATATATATATATATATATATATATATATATATATATATATATTGAAATGATTTCAATATGTTAAAAAATATACAACTTAATTGGATTTTTATATGAGTTTGTTGTTTATGAATTTCATGAAGCCATCACAATGTGGGTTCGACTCCGAAATAAAAGAGAGAAAAAGATTAGTAAATTGTTAAATAAATTAATTTTGACTTACCTGGTATAGTGTTAATAATTTCTGAATAGTATAGTTGCCTAGTGTATAGGTGAATCGTCTAAACCTTAAAAAGAACAAAAAAAAAAGAATTTTAAAAAATATTTAAACATAGAAATTTTAATAAACGTCAGAAAATAAACTGCTTGACAGTTTATTTGACAGTCTGTGGGAGCTAAATTAATAGGGGTTTTGTTAAATCAGAAATTACAATGATGTGGAGATGAAAAGAATAAATTAGTATTGTAATAGAATAAGTTTTATATCTAAACATTTTTTTTTTGTAAATTCCCAAATTATATGTGATTAAAGTGATTATGAGAAAGTAATGTGGCTTGACAAATATGTCAAACAGGACAGTTTTATGGTTTAAAATATTTAAATAGAAGACAGAAAAAAAAAAGAACGTTGGTTGCTGTTAGCAACGGATAATAATGGGAATTGGTTTTTGGAGAGGACGCCGACGAGGTTTTTTTGGACGAAGGAGAGCCCTGAAACTGTGGAATAGGTCGGGAGTGTTTTTTAACTCGTCTAATTAGAATTTAGTTTTCCACAGTTTCCACAGCAGAGATATCCAGAAATTTGTTCCAGAGAGTAAGAGAAACAATTTCACTTATAAATTATATTGGAGTATAGAAATGTCATTTAAATTGAGAAAATTAAAATTCATGAATTAACATAATTGCGATAGGCCTTAAAAATTGAAATTATTAATGATCATTAAATTAAAAATAGAATAGTACGTACCTTAACTTCCGAAGAGAGGATTGATATTCCAGTTTCACCGATTATTTTTGAGTAGTTAGTTTCCTTTAAAGAAATCAGAACTGTTTTAAAGTGAGGTTGGACAATAATTTTGGGGATCATTTGAAATTTTGATTATATTTGAATAGTCAGCGGAATAAAGTGTTCATTTTCTTTTTCTTTATAGTTCATTTAAACACTTTATAAAGTTGCAATATTTATTTAGTTTTTAGGTACTTGTAGAGAGTCTCCACATTTTGTAATACATTTTTATTGTCACGTCACTAAACCACGTTAAGACTTAAACGATTCCTATTTTTGTAAATTTTTAAAGGCAACCGAAGTTGCAGACGAATTTTATTGTTTATATTAAATTTGTTCAATATTAATAAATAACGTGCTTCATTTGGGTTAATTTATCAAAAGTCTAAAGTAAAGTTTGGTTTAATTTTTTTTTGAACTCTACAAGGAGACTACAGAGTCGACGTCACACAGTGACAGATTGCTTAGAATACATAATTGAGCTAGCTGAGGTATATTAAATTAAACAACGAACCACATATTATAAAAATTACATTTATTATAAATAAAAATAAAATTAATAAAATACAACTTTATCAATATATATATATATATATATATATATATATATATATATATATATATATATATATATATATATATATATATATATATATATATATCTGTGATATATCTCGTAGTTGTACCTTCTTCTCCAAACACTATTTTCACAGATGCCACCGAATATTCTTCTCAGGATCCTTCGTTCAAATATAAGCAGGTTTTCATCTGCCTTGGAAATGGTCCATGTCTCCGATCCATATGTCAACACTGGTTGTATAAGGGTCATGACGTTCTCCTTGGTGATCAGGGAGCCTAAGTATGTGAATTTGTCCACCACTTCAAAGGTAGAGTTATCAACAGTGAATTGGTGGTCGATGTTTCTGGTTCTATTGTTGGGTGTTGATAACATTTTCTTAGTTTTCTCCTCAGTTACTTGCAGGCCTATATTTTTTGAGGCATTTGACAAGTGGTATACATTTCTTTTTGTTTGCGTGTTGTGCTGGCAACTAGGTCAACATCATCTGCATATGCCAACATTTGGGATGATTTATTAAAAATGTTTCATCTGTTGTCTATTTGGGCACACCTGACCACCTTTTCCAGAGCTATGTTGAAAAGGAGACATGCCAGCGCATCACCCTGTCGCAGCCCAACATGCGTTTCAAATGCCTGTGATTGTTCGCCCTGTATTTCGACTTTGCAAACAACTTTACGCATTGTAGCCTTACCCAATCTTATCAGTTTATTGGGTATGTGGAATTCATCCATGACTTCATACAATTTATTTCTTAGGACACTATCATAGGCTGATTTAAAATCTACGAAAAGATGGTATGTGTCGATATTGATATCATTGGTTTTTTCTAGTATTTGCCCTACTTATAATCGAAGGCAAAGTCAATAGCAAAAGAGGACCAGGAAGAAGACGCAACTCTTGGCTTAAAAACCTACGGCAATGGACGAACATGACCTCCATAAAACTATTCAGGGCTGCTACAAATAAGATTAAATGGGCAAATGTAATAACCAACGTCCTTAAGGATAAGGCACCGTAAGAAGAAGTATTTGCCTTAGCACAAAGATCTGGTCTGTTGTTGATCGACCAGGCCTAAAACCACTTTGATATTTGCCAAGAAGCTCCCCTGAATATGCATTCAGGCGACTATATAAAATACTCGAAAATATTTTGTATGCTGTATTAAAGAGGGTTATTCCCCTATAGTTTCTACATTCCAATTGATCACCCTTTTTGTGTAGCGGGCAAACGGGATTTGTTCACTCTTCTGGGACTTGTTCCTCATTCCAGGCTCTCAGTATCATTTTAGGTATATGGTTAGTCAGAGTAGCACCTCCACATTTAATAAGTTCCGTGGATTCGGCACCGTGGCGCGGAGTTGAAGATTTTTGTTTTATTTTCTGTCTGCGATAAACCCGAAATTCGAGAGTTGCAACGGGAAATAATTCAATACGTTGTAGTGAGAATTGAGATAACTGAATAAGGTAACAACTGTGCAAAAATAAACACCGAAAACTGCAAAAAAACAATAACAAAGTGAATAAGCGGATAAGGAAAAAAAGCGAGGTTAACTGATAAGAACTAACACTGGGAAGGGAGCTACGTTTAAGTGAATCGCGACGTTGCCAATGTGTACAAAGTTTCGTGTTTGCCACGGAATACAAAATTAGTCGAGACTTCGAATAGGGGATTCAACAGGAAGTGGTAGATACTGTTTCTTCCGAGCTGTTGAAGCGAGAGATAGTGTCTGGCGCCAATCAGAGTTAAAAGTAATCCGCGAAGTGACCAAAAAAAAAAAAAAAAGGATACAAGGATGGAAAAATATCTACAAGGTAAAACGTATATGGACAGTGACGATACAACAACAGATGAAGGAGCAAAAAGAAAGAATAGAGGAGAGGATGATGAGCAAGAGGAAGAGAGATCCAGAAAAAATAAAAAAATAAAAAACTAACAAGAACCCCTCAGAAGACAGGAGGAAAAGAGGATGGAGCAAAACTTGATGAATTGCTAGAAATGATGAGCAACCTAACCAGCGACATTAGACAAATAAAAGAAGACCAAAAGGAATACAAGGAGGTAGTTGAACATCTAATAAGGGAAATCAAGGAACTAAAGAATGATAATAAAATTCTAAAAGAGGAAAACATACAGATTAAGAAAGAATTAAGGGAAATACGAGACAACATAGAAATTATAGAAAAACAGAGAAGGCGAAATAATGTGGTAATGAACGGGCTAGCAATTGATACGCAGGATCAGCTGGTATTGAAGGAAGCAATTGGCAATTTTATAAAAGATCACCTTGCAGTAGAGGCCAAAATAAAGACGGCCCACAAACTAGGTCCAAAAACGTGCCTAATTGAAATGGAGAACCAACAAGAAAAGATAAAAGTTATGAAGAATAAAGCAAAGTTAAAGGACGTCAAAAAGGAAAAGGTATACATCAACGATGACAGAACGGTGAGAGAGAGAGAAATTCAAAAAATAATAAGAAAAATTGCACAAGAGGAAAGAAACAAAGGAAACGAAGTCAAAATAGGAGCAAGGAAAATGATGATAAATGGTGTTGAATGGAAGTGGAATAGCAAGGAAGATAAAATGGAAATAACAAACTCAAAAAACTAGAAAACGGCTATGATAGTAAAAATACGAAGACGAACAACGCAAGGAACAAGGACATGAATACCGGTAACATTGTCATAGGAAAGGGTGATTTAAAGATAAAAAATACAAAAGAAGGCAATAGAAACACATATCCAAAAGATCACTTAATGGTAGGAACGTGGAACGTAAGGGGTACTTTTGAGGAAGGAAAACTGAAACACTTAACTAAAGAAATTGAAAAGTTTAAATTTGACGTAGTGGCACTACAAGAAACAAAGCAACTGGGTCAGGAAATGCTGGAAATTGAAAATAGCTTATTTTTTAATAGTAGAGGCAGAAACAGAATATTAGGCACAGGATTTTTGGTAAATAAAGCGTTAAAAGCATCAATTGTAGAGTTTAAACCAATATCTGATCGTCTATGTTGTCTAAGAATAAGAGGAAAATATCAAAAAATCACATTCATTAACATTCACTCACCGTCAGAAGAAAA